GTTAGTGGTTCTGACCGAGATTCCTTGCTTTATTTAAAACCCTTCTCAGAATGTCCGCTTAGAATTGGTAAGACATCAAGCACCAACAGCACCAAGGGCCTGAAACACGCGCTCACACATGTATGTACGTACACACACACGTGTGTATACATGTGCACACACAAACACCTGCATAGACTCAATGAAAGGACGGAGCAGGAATGGGGAGGAAATGGGGTGGATGGAGAGTCAGCAACAAGACCCTCCTAAACACATCCTATGATACAATTTTGTTTCTTTAAATCATATACACAGTTTATACGTATACATATTCAAAAAGTAAAATTAAACATGGAAAAAAATCCCTATAACCTGTAAACAACCTAAAACAAAGGGGCCTATTGTAACAGAACACGTGGAAAGACAACTCGGGAGACCCTGCGAACCCACATTGGAACTGTACCTCTGAGGGTCATGTCCCCACAAGTGAAGATACTAACAGGTCCTACGTGTCACTCAAAGAGGATGGTTCAAACTCCGTAACGTCAACTTTGAATTGGAAATTCATGATTTTTAAAAAATACAAGGCTCCTGGCTCTGACCACAGAAACGGTGTAAAAGCAGCAGCAACCAAGGGCGATGTGCCCCCAGCCCCAGACTGTGATCCCTAAGCCCCTCCCCGCGGAAGGGGCCGGACTCCGAGGGGCCAGGTGCCCCAGGCCACATGGTGGAGTGATGGACAGGAAGGATCAGCATGGCCGCAGGCTCAGCCCAACAGGACCTTGCAGCCTCTGAAGGCATCAGCCCAAGAGGAAGTCGGAAACAGGACCCAGGCCTCACAGACACTGGGGCCCCATCCCCTGTGTGCATTTCCCGGCAGGGTTGTCTCAGGGTCCTCACGTGGCCCCCCAGGCTGGCCTCCGCCCCCACCAAGACACCCCTCCTGCAGCTTGTGCGAGGCAGGACGGTGCTCCACGTGGGTTTACCTCTTTCTGCCACCAGGCTGTGGCCTCGTGTCCCCACATCTGGCAGCGGCCGTTCCCCCGGCACCCGTGGCGCAAGAGCTGACCCAAAGGAGGCAGACAGTGCGCACAACCTCACCCCCCCACTCCCCGGGCAGCCCCAGCTCCGAGACCTCCAGGGCCTGCACTGCACACCCACCCATCCTTGCAGGCAGTCAGCGCACGAACCCTGCTCTTGGGGGAGAGGCCAGGAGGGGAAGTGCCAGGCACTGCCGGCTCCGTGTGCTCACAGCCTGGGCCCCGTCACAGCTGAGCTGCCTCACCACCCTTTCTCTCCCAGTTCAGACGATGTGGCCTCGTCGAGCCAGGGCGGCAAGGGCCACTCTTCCTGCCCGACCCCAGGGGGGCAGCGGGTGGCCCCCGTCACCGTGGCTGGGGGATCCCGACGGCAGGATGCATGGCTTCAAAGGCACAGTTCCCACAGCTTCCATGGCTCAGGCCCCAGAGGTCGGGTGGTGGCTGGTGGAGCCCGGGGAGGGGAGCCTTAAGTCTCCAGCTGCTCTCCTGGCGGGAAGTCAAAACACAGGCTCAGCTAAGCCTGCTTCTTGAGCGGATGGCTCCGGCCTCTGCATTCGGCTCGGCCCCAGGAATCGGGGGCTGAGGGCTGGCGCCCTTCGCCGTCAGATTGGACACGGGTACTGCAAGGCCAGGAGGGCCCCACCTTCTGACGGCACCAGTACTGGCCCTATGGTCCTGATGGAGACCCATGAGTGCAGAGTGGGACCTGCCGCCTGCCCAGCATCCTGCCAAGGTGCCTGGGGACCCAATGGGCACCTGGGAGGGGACTGGACTGTGCTCCCAGAGAGGAGGGAGCTGGCCCCACAGGCAGGACTGGAGGGCATGGGCTTAGTGGGCGACAGTCCCTTATGCAGAGGCTCATAGCTCAGTCCTCAGGTTCCTCCCCAGGCCCCCGGGCCCTGCGCCTCCCGGTGACACTCTGGGCTGGGGCTGGAGAGTCCGAGGGCAAAGCCGGCAGCACTTGGACCAGCTGCTCTGACGCCGGCCATGCTGTCCCAGGCTCTCCCTTGCACCCCTGCCTGGCTGGTCACAGGAGGTCAAGAGTGCTTCCTCCTGCGCCTGTGGTAACCATGGTAACTACACACCTTGCAGATGCCAGCAAACCATATCCCAGATCCCAAAGGAAATAAAGATAAATTTGAAAGTAGTAACAGGAGACGGTAACATATGCTGGAGTTAGGTGGCCTCTGCAGTCCATTTTGAAGCCAGGATTTTTTAGGACGTTCTGCATACATGAACTTGGAAAGTATGTGGGATGTGTGAGCCAGGCCACTGGTAAAAAGAATAAATGGATGGTTGATGGGGGGTGGGGGGCAGTACAGTGAAGAACAGGCCGCATGCAGCAGGCACTCCACTGACGCTTCCAGAATGAAGAGTGAAGGAAGGGAGGGGCTGGAGCAGGCGAAGCCCCAGGGGCAGCCGCGGGCACCTCAGGGCTTGGAAGCTGGGCCTTGCGGGTGAGGCCTGGGGTGGGCAAGCCCTCGACAGGGGTCACACAGGGAGGGACAGGCCCACGCCCTCTGCCGCGCTGCCCCCTCATGCTCAGAGCAGGGGGTCATGCCCTCCCTTTCAGCTCAGGCCCAGAGCCCCAGAGGAAGATGGAGAACGGGTGTGGGGTCCGGGGGGCTACCCAGTGGCTGATTGCTCGGGCGCCAGCTCAGGCCCAGGCTGGGCTTACCTGGCAACGGTCACGTCGTTCTCCGACTGCCTCCCTCGCACCTTGTGTGCAGGTGGTGCTCCTCCCACGACTGGTGGAGGCCCGTCCCGGTCACCCTGCATGTCACGGTCACACACTGCCCTGTCCGGCACGCGGGCTGCCTGCTCCTCGCCCTGCACGGGGTTGGTGGGCCCCCAGGATGAGGATGGCATCCTCAGGGGGGTTTCGGGGCGCAGGCAGGGCTGCCCCCTCCTCAGTGGCAGTGGGCTCTGCTCATTTGCAGGGCGGTGGAGGGGGGACTGTGAGGATTGAATTTGCGCTTCTTTGACTACTAGTAAAATTCGGTGTTATTTTGGCCACATGTTAAATTAGCTGTATCTCCTCTTGAGAATGTCCGATACTGCCCTTTTCATTCATTTATACGCATCCTCGTGATTCTCTTCCCTTGTAAGAGTTTCTTCCTTAAAACCCACGTGACTCGCTGCCATGCTTATTACAAATGACGAGAGCACTAGAACTCCACATACGAGCAGACACCCAGCTTCCTCCTTGGAGGCGATGTCCACACACCCTGCCCTTGGAGCTGCCCCTCGCCTGCTGGCCGGAGTCCCTCGGGGGGACTGTGTGAGCTCCGGTGCCTCGAAGCTGGGATGGCCCTCCCTCCCAGCGCCGACTGCCCAGGACACCCAGGGCAGCATTGCGCCCGAGAGCGCTCGATGCAGCCGGGCCAGTCCAGCCTCCTCTGGTCGCACTGGGAGAACCACCAGCTGGTCATGGCTACTTGCTCCTCAGCACATGGGGACGCAGACAACCAGATACACGTCCTCGCACGTGCCCCTTGCCTCCCGTTACAGGAAGACGGGCATTCCCTCCAACTTCATGCCTCCTTGGAGCACACTTCCCGAAGAGCAGGGGGATCGTGTAACGAGGGAAGATTTAAGTGCCGGCAGGAGTGTGGATGGTGAGCACAGGCTGTGGTCAGACAGACCGCAGCGAGGGTGCACAGGCAGCCCAGGCAAAGTGCCGGGAGGCAGGGACCCACCCTGGGCGACCCTCCCAGGGTGCACAGCCAGGCCACTGTGGGTCCCCACCTAAGAGAACACAGCCACACAAGGGTCTCCCGCAGCCACAGCAAGACACGGTCCCAGGGAACAGGCCTGGTAGCCTTGGCCCGAAGCTGGCCGAACCAGGCTGCATCTGTGCTCAGACTACCAGCTCCTCCCCAACCTCCAAGAGGCGGCCCTGGACGGAGAAGGGACCCCGGCTGCAGGCATCCTGGGCACCTCGGGCCCCCATCACTGCGTCATCGGGCCCAAGGGCTTCAGTGTGGTCGTTGGGTGCTGTTGGGAAGCTGGCCTCCAGTCCTGAGTCAGATCTCACGAGCTCCCTTTTCCCACGTTTGAGGCTCAAACGTGACACAGGTAAACGGCAATGGCTTTTTGCTAAGACAAAGCCTGAAGAAGAGGAGATGGCTTCAGGGGCTGACTCCCCCTGCCTTGTCTCGAGGCAGGCACTCTGGGCCCCCTAACAGTGGCCACCTGGGTGGGCTCTTCCAACTTGGGCAGGGCTCCTGTGGCCCAGGGATGGACGTGCCAGAGCCTTCATCCTTCCCTGGAGGCTGGAGATGCTGAGGGGCCCGGGACCGTTTCAGCTCCTGGTTTTTCCGAGGTCATGGTGCTCCAGCCATTCTTTAAAATAAGAGGAAGCTACAAGGAAGCTGAGGGTTCCTGCTCGGAGGTGTCCACTCAGGGCCAGCCAGTCCTGCTCCTGCCCCGCCCCCCCCCCCCACCACCACCACCACAGCCAGGCTCCAGGCCACAAGTGGTTAACTGTGCGGGTGAACACGAGCCTGCGGCAGGCGGGCTGACTGTCTTCACTCAGCACCATAATCGGCACATCTGCAGACAGGAAATCCTCCTCCTGCGAGCTCCCAGCCTGTTATCTAAGACACCTGGTGTGGGTGGGTGATTCACAGACAAACAATGAGCCGGCCCCCTGCACAGCAATTAACTGCTTTAGCTGCTAATGTGTTTAATCCACCACGTGGAGATCAAGGCTGCACCGAGGAAGAGGCTGGCAGACTGCAGGGCCCACGTCCCATCCCCGCATCTGTGAGTCTCGTCGGCTGTGGCCAAGGCCGTCCACGTGGACAGTCCACAGGGCACGAGGCGCATCTTTCCCTTTTCATTTTTAACACGTCAAGTCCAGCCGGTGTGGATGCAGCACTGGCGTCTGGGCAGACCTACAGTCTGCGAGCTCTTTGCCTCCTCGGCCGTGCCACTCAGGTCGTTGTATTTTGACCTCCAGGATCACCCTTTGTTGCAAGTAGAAATAACGCTTGGTTCAAGGCTTACCTGGTAAACAGGCGGAGAACATTCCCGGTTGTTAAACTGGGAAATGGTTCCTGAATGTTTACAAAACCCGGCGGGAGCAGTGGCCCCGCCAGCACTTGCCCGTGCAGACCCAGGAGGCGTGCCAGGAACCCGCCACCGCAGCGCCGCCTCGGAAAGCAAGGTCAGAGGCCAAGGACTGTGAAAAGCTTCCACCCCCAGCATCAATCACGCCCGGCAGACTGTCTGGGGGATGCTCTTTTTGAAAATACAGAAAACAAAACCAGTTGGGGAGGGCTCCCGGGGCCTTGCCTGCCACCCACCAGGGTCGTCTGGACACTGGGAGGACCCTGAGGCTTTCCGAGGGCCCGGCCCCTCACCCTCTGGCTGCTGCCAGCAGCGTGGGCTCAGCTGATGGCATCTGGGTGCAGGCCCGCGCCTCAGTACAAAGGCGTTGGGGACCAAGCGGGAGGACTGGGTGCGAGTGGGAGGGGGAACCAGCCACCTCGCCAGTTAGAACGGATTTTAAATTAATAACAATCAGTTTATGTTTCTGGGTCTGAGTAGCGTTCATCAAAATAAACCTACGTAAGATTTACTTTTACAGTTTGGTCAAGAACATTTCCTCTGGTAATTTAGCGGATCTTGGTCAAGAGGCAGTAAGTTCACTCCGGGGCATTTCAGATCTTTGCCTTGTTCCTCAGAAGTGAATCGCTGACTCCTCCGGGGTTTATTTCATTTTCTGATTTCCCACTACTCTGAGCACCTCAGCTTCTCAGAAGGGCACTGCTGCCCGGGCCTACCTCCGGGGACGTGGGGGCCTGGGAAGCCGGGATGGACAAACGCTGGGGGACAGGCCCTCTGAGGGCTCGGCACGCTCGCCGAGTGCTGTGGAGCCGGACAAGTCTGACGACCACACGGACTCAGAGCCCAGGCCCAGACGGGGGACGAGTGACGGGGCTCAGCACGAAGAGACCCACGGGCTGGAAACACGGGAGAACGAAGACACTGACCGTCCCTACGTTTAAAATGCAAGTTGACAGATCAGGAAAAAGGGTCCCAAGCCCACAGGCCACAGGCACCAAGGCAGGTGGGTGTCCCGGCAGGTGAGCCCACACGCCCTCGGGAGCAGGACCCGCAGCCCCTCTGTGGGGAGCCCCTCGCAGCGCCTGCGCTCTCTGCTCCACCCTCAAAGCCCATTCCTCTCCAGGCTGACCGTCCCAGCCCTGGCAGGGGCCCCCCAAATCCACTCTCCCCTTCTCCGTGGGGGCAGCCGGGTGCAGGGAGGGCCCAGCCTGGGAGGGAGTGTGCCCGACAAGGTCACTAACAAGCTGTTTCTGCATGGCCACGCTTGCTCGGCCTTCACCCCCACAAACAGGTGGACCCATGCCTCTTGGGGCACGGGAGGCAGGCTGGCGGCCAGCCCACGCCTGCTGGGAAAGGCCCGGGGCCTCTGCCCTATCACTAGACCCTGCCTTTGCAAATCTGCAAAGTGTGATTTCTGGCAAGGCCGGGAGGACACCCACTCCCAACACGAGATGACCCACAGAGCTGAAGGCGGCCAGGGGGACGCGTCAGAAGCAACAATAAGCTGGCTAGAAGCTACACGTCTCCATTACGTTCGCATCTCCATTACGTTCACGTATTAACAGCAGCTGGCTTCTGCATGCCACTGTCCACAGCAGCATTTTCCAAGACACCCAGAAGATAGAAGCAACCCAAGTGTCCACTGGCAAATGCCCGGATGAGCCTAGGGTGCCATATGCAGCACTGCCCACCTTCACAGGTTATGACACGGACAACCTCCAGGACACAATGCCAGTGAAGTAAGTCAGACACAAAAAGGGAAACACTGTAGGGTCCCACTCACTTGAGGGACCTGGTCATCAGAGTCACAGAGACAGAAAGTAGGAGGGTGAGGGCCAGGCCCTGGGAGGGGGTGGGGGGTTATCTGATGGGGACAGAGTTTCCATTTGAGACGATGAAAAGTTCTGGAGATGGAGGGTGGTGTGTGAATGTACTTAATGTCACTGAACTGAGCACTTAAAAATGGTTAAGATAGTAAATTTTTTTTTTTTTTTTTTTTTTGCGGTACGCGGGCCTCTCACCGCTGTGGCCTCTCCCGTTGCGAAGCACAGGCTCCGGACGCGCAGGCTCAGCGGCCATGGCTCACGGGCCCAGCCGCTCCGCGGCATGTGGGATCTTCCCGGACTGGGGCACAAACCCGTGTCCCCTGCATCGGCAGGCGGACTCTCAACCACTGCACCACCAGGAAAGCCCAAGATAGTAAATTTTATGTTACTCACACGTTAAAACAGTTAAAAAAAGGTAAAAACTCCGTTATCGTTTGTATGTTATAAACAGCTATCTTGAAGCTACAGTGGAAAACAAGTCTAATTTACTAAAAAAACACATCTACACCAAGGTTTAAAGTTAGTAGGAAATGTACGCGAGGCCTCAATAAACCACCCATAGGACTAACTAGTCTCCCCGATGAAAACCCAGCTGCCTGCGACCCACCATCCACAGCTCTTCCTTGGTTTTCATTTCCAGTACGAGGAGCGCTGGGGAAGAAAGACCAGGAGAGCACAGTGTGCTCGGACGGAGGAGGAGCGAGGCTGGTCAGGGCCACCTCATGGCCTTTATCCAGCCCCCACCCCAGAGCCAGCAGGGTGACGAGTGCCAGGAGTGGCGAGAAGGGGGCCAAGATGCCCAATGGAGGGGAAGGCGGTATGCCTTGTCCCCCGAGTGTGCATAGGAGCACCTGGTCCCAAGTGCACGCAGGAGCACGGGGTCCTGAGCATCCTTACCTATGGCCCACAGGACGGTGTCAAAGGTGCCTGTGTCCTTCTTGTCGGAGGCAAGGTCCACCCAGGTGACCTGGAGTCGCCCATCTGAGAGCTTCTCCACCCTCAAGGGGGTGCAGCCCCTCAGGATTCGGGTGCCGTGAACAGCCATGTGCTCTGTGACCAAGGAAGCCATTTGCTGCAAAGCACAAGAGGACATGCCTTGAGGACCGGGCAGCAGTGGGAGTGTCACTGCTGAGGCCTGTGGAGAGGACCTGGGCCTACAGCCTGAAAAGGCCCGGGGCCCCAGGGGAGTCTGTCCAATGGAAGAGGTCAGGGCCCCACGCCTTCTTCCAGGACGCCTCACACAGGCCGCCCCTCTCCGAGTGCCCTGCTTTCCACGGAGCTGAGGGCCGAGCCGGGAGAGCCTCTGGCGCCCCGACCCCCTCCAAATCTGAGGACCCAAGCCCCTCGGTTAGGGTGCACGTGATCTCTGGACCCTCTTTAGATGTTAGTTAACTGAGTCTTCACTGAAATGGCAGAGATGCACCCCTTCTCCCAGGCTCTGCCTGCCTGGCCCCCCGGCTGGGGTCAGCAGTGGGGTAGCTGGGAGTGGAGGTGGGCACCTCCGCTTCCCACCAAGAACTGCTAGGGGAGGTGGCACGGCATGAGGAGGCGCTGCAGGGGGTTCCTCCCTCCCAGCCCAGGCAGCTGTGCCCCCAGGGCCACGGTGGGGGCTCGAACAAGCCATCAAGAGAAAATACAAGTCACTGTTTAACTCCCCTGACTCAGGGGCCACCCCAGCATGAGGAGCTTTGTCTGTGCCCCAGGAACAGGTGGGCAGGCTACAAGGCCTCACCTGGAGCCTGCTCTCCCCCAGCTCCCCCGACTCCAGCCTGGTGACCCCACCGTCTCTGTGTGCCAGCCACATGCAGATTCTCCCTCTCTTGCTACCATGACCACCCGCCAACCGGGCTCTCCAGCTCAGCCTCATCGGCCCCCTTCTCCACGTCCCTGCGGGCCTCTGCCTCTCAGGCCCCATCTCCACCTGCGTCCAGCATGAGGCTTGAGGCCTTCCCTGGACATGTGTCCCCGTGACAGGTGCTTGGACGTGTGTACTGAGCAGGTGACAGGACCGAGGGGTGCACTGCCCCAGAGCTGTGCAATGGACAGTGCTCATCTCTGCAGGGCATCGGGAGCCTGGTGTCTTGACAATGACAACCCAGACCTGGATTTTAAAGTGACATCTCCTCGGAGGGTTTTTGGTTTAAAAAAAATTCCACGCGCTCGTTATGTGGGCACGTCCACCATCAGGGAGAGAGTCTGCGCCCCAGGGCCGGTGCTGCCCCGTGTGGTGGACGGGGAGGTGGCGAGGCTGCAGTGGCCTGGCTCAGCATCACGTCTTTCCAGTCCATGGTGGCCGGGCCACCATCTCCCGTGACGGTCACCCAGGGCCTCACCAGCTGCCGCCTGCTCCCTGTCCATGCTACCCTTGGATAGTGGAGCTCCTCAGACCTCAGGGGGCTCAGCGAGGAAGCCAGGACAGCACTTCTGCCCACACACGCCGGCCGCTTACTATTGGGTGACCTGACCTCATGGCCCGTGAGCTGGCCAACGTGCCCACAGTGTCCCTCTGGTCCCTGCCACGCTCCCCACGTGCTGACCCTTGCTGCAATACGCTGGCAGGTGTTTATTTTGCCAACAATCTCCTCATTCGACTCAAGGGCCAGTTTCTAAAGACTGAGACCTCGCTCCCAGCCCACACCTGCACCTGCCCATGTGGGCCACAGGTGGAGGGGACACCGGCCCGGCATTACCTGGTCGAAGGCCCGGAGAGGGACACTGCGTATCATGACAGTGGTATCCAGGCCGAGCCCAGTGAGGAAGCCAGCACACTCCAGGGCCACGTCTGCCAGAGCAGGCTAAGGAACGCTAACGGAAGCTAGGCAGCAAGACCCCCGGTGCCCCCGCCAGCAGCCCTCATCTCCACCAGTCCCCAGCAGCCCAGAAGAGTCTCCAACACTGGCCACAGAGACACTCTCCCCACCGCCCCCATCTCTCAAACACACGTCCAGGGCAAGGTGGAGGCTCCCTTCAGCACCCACAGGCCAGGCGGGTTCTGCCTCCACGGGGCCTCTGTCCAGACTCCCTGGAGGTTAACCAAGGGGCCTGTGTGGTGAAGGACAGGAGACGTGCCCAGACCTCAGTGTCTCCATTTTCCTGCAGACACACCCTCCACCCTCCCTGGTGTTACTGCTCCCTCTTAAGGAACCGGCCTGAGTGGGGCTGCTCTCCAGGGAGGACCGTCTGCCTCACGGCTGTGTCCAGCTGCCCAGCCAGCGAGTGACTCAGGAAGAGCCTCCAGGAAGCCCCAGCCTCAAAGGTCAACCTCAAATTGTCCCTCGAGCACAGGTCATCCGCCCTGAGTGGGCCTGTAAGTGCCTGTAAGTGCCTGGTTCCAGGTGGCAGAGGGCAAGCCCCATGGGAGAGAGTGCAGTGAGGGGGGGAGGTGGGCCTGGGGCCCAAGCTTCCACTCTCAGGATGGTGAACACAGCTGTCTATCTGTCTGTCACCTGCACGCAGCAAAGGATACAGCTGGCCCCAACCACCAACCTGTAAGAGAGATGGACAGAGAGAGAGAAATTGAGTCTCACACGTGGCCGCCATGATGCACGCGGCCGTCCCTGGTGGGGCTCTGAGGGGGACGGGGCCCTGCAGCCTTCATGCAGGGTGCCTGTCAGCTGACATGTCACTATTGCGGAGTCCCTGCGGCTAACTGTCCAAACAGGCTGTCCCAATGTACAAAACCCACTTCCCAGAGCTCCAGCTGTGAATGACAAACAGAGCTGCTGGTTTGGGAAATTGCCTGGTGGCGAAGGAATGAGTGGCCAGGGACAAAACAGCACGTCCCGGGGATGGGACTGGAGGCGGGACAAACATGGACGAAGCCCAGTCAGAAGAAGCAGGAGGATTTTCGTTCTCTCCTAAGGAAAGTTCTGCCTTGGGTTCCTCTGGACCTCCTGCAGCCAGGCTGGAAACAGACGGGGAGGCACCAGACGTGGGGCGGCTCCTGGGAGCCCTGTCTGTGGGCAGAACACTCTGGGACCACGGGGCCCAGGCAGACGGCCCACCCCATGCCCACCCAGCCCCACTGCACATAGGCCTGTGGCTGGGAGAGTCAGCTCCCCGAGCAAGGGCAGCCTGGGAGAGGGACACAGGATGCTGGGACCCAGCAGATCCTCTCCTGTTATTCAGCTGCACACACCCTGCATGCATACACGTGCACACACACACACACACACACTTGCACACGTGTACACATGAACAGAACTGAACACAGAGTGGAGACTCCCAGCCCGGGCAGCGTGTGGGTGGGCTTGTCAGATCACCCCTCAGCCTTTGAACGAGAGGAGGTGATGCAAGGATGGATAAGCAAATGTCAGCTCTGATCCCAGCAGGTACTAATGATATAATTCCATTTCAAACAGCAGCACGTCTCTGGGAATACTGTTGCCAGTGCCCTGGGGGAAGCAACTGGCATACGGCTTCCTCTCAGGAGCTGGGACAGGAGTGCTGGCACCCTGTGCAGGGTGAGTGGGGAGAGCTCGGCATGTGAGGCACACACACAGGCACAATGTACATGTCTGCGTGTGGGTACACTCAACGTTACACACTCTGCCCTCTCTCAGTCTCGATGTGTGTGGGGAAGGGGACAAGCCTTTCTTTAAAATATGAAACTACGAGTTACTTAAAATGCAAACAGGCTTGAGCTGCTTTGAACATCCTGCCCCAATGCAAGGACCAATGAAGAGCATCCGTGTGGACCTCACAGTGCCCTGTGCTCCCACTCAGGGTGGCCATGGCCTGGGCAACCGTGACATGCAGGTGCCGGGGAGCCCACTGCCCGCCTGCTGGGCTGTCCTGCTCGTCCGAGCCTTCCTGTCTCCGTAGAGCAGACCCTCTTGGGGGGGTGGGGCGGTGGCTGCAGCCTGAAGCCCACAGCCCAGCTCCAGGCAACGCAGCAACATGGTCTCCTGATTTTGGCAAAAGCGTTTTGCTCCTGCAGCCCCTGGGCACCTCCTCAAGCCCTGCAGGGAGCAGGGTAGGGTGGCGGGGTGGCCTCCCACTCCCACCTCCAGGTCATGGTACCCCCAGCCCCAGGCTACTGGTTCCGAGCCGCCAACAGAGGGCACATCTGGGGGAGAGGCACCAGCCAGGCCGGGCCTCAGTGGGCGTCCTTGACCAAGCATGGGTGGCTGAAACCTCAGAGCGGGCAGGCATCCACTGGCCCTGATGGTCACCTTGGGCCTCATCTTGTCTCCAAGAGGAAAGACGGTCAACAGTGTTGGTTTTCACTCCACCCTGCCCCCAATTCATCAAATAAGTATTATTCTTCGAAAAATGCAGGATTCAAGGTCTCAACCAGAGAACTCCCTTCAAATGGACTGGAGTAAGAAAACAGCAAAAATGGAGCTGGTGCCTGCAGGTGGGGTGCAGGCAGCCCTGAAGGGACGCTGCGTTTTTATTGGCAGGTTTGAAGCTGCAGATGGGCTTTGCCGACCACCTAGGAGACCCCAGCCTGGGTGGGGCTGAGGCTGGTGCCAAGGCACAGCACCCACGGCAGGCCCTGCCGGCAAAGGGAGGACCTGGGGCGGCGGGGCCTCTGAGGACTGGACACACGGCCTCACACTGCAGCAGGACACCCCACGGGGGCTCCACCTGCACCCAGAGCCCCACTCAGCTGTGTGTGTGTTCGGGGAGCCCCCCTGTGTGCCCTTCGGTGCTGCAAACACTGTACTCCAAGGTGTAACTGCCGTGGGATTAGCCTGATCACAGGGCTGGCTCTCTCCTTAAAGTCTGAAGGGGGAGGAAGCAGAAACAAAGCCTTCCTTCAGGCCTTGGAGCCCCAGCTTAAAGAGCTCTCCACCTGCCTCTTGAGTCTGAAGGCCCCAATCCGCTCCCCGGGGGTGCACCCACACAGCGTGGGGGTCCTGCAGCTGTCCCGCCAGCACAGGAAATGCTGGGGCCACAGAGCTCGGGGCCCCCAGGAGCAGCTGGACACAGGATGTCCAGAAAGCACCAAGACCCTCGGGGGCAAAGGCGGGTGGGGCAACAGCGGAGGCTGAGGGCCGGCTCTCCAGGCCTGAGCTGCTGGCCACCCAGCCTCATGCAGATGCCCCTGAGCCACCAGCCGCGGCCCGCACCCTATCGTGGGGAGGAAGACAGGACGCCACGGAGCCCATGGGCCCTTGGGAGCCGGCTAGTGGAGGCTCCACCGCTGCAGGCCGAGGCCAGGCACACTGGGCACCCTCAGCCGCTGGCTGGCCTCCTGGCCGGGGCCAAGTGGGAAGGTCCTGGCCGGCTTCGGGAGGCCTCCAGGGCCGGGGGCAGCCCTCGGGTCCATATTCATTTCAGCTCCATTTTAAAGGCGAGTTAAAATAAACACGGGGAATATTTATAAGGCAAATAAATCTGGCAGAAACAGCCCCTCAGAGTGTGAGCAGAGGCCCCCCCAGCCCAGCCCAAGCTGATAAAATACAGAAATGCTACTGTAGACCCTCGGGCTTATTTTGACTGCGGGCAGGAATGTAAGGAGTAAACACTGACTCCCGTATCACACTGTTACAACTTGCATCCACAGCTCCGCACAAAAGCTGCGTTTCACAGAAGCATCGTACAGGGATATATCTCCAGCTTAATTTTTAAAAAAACCATTTCCTCACATAAATCATGCTCAGAATGGAACGGGTGACTGATACATTGCAAACACTTTTTTCCTTAAACAATAACATACCTAGATTCCTTCTAAACGAAAGAGCTTTTTTAAAAAAAGTCTCCTAAACGTTTTTTTTTCTGAAGAAAATAAACACTTTCCTGACCCCAATATCTGGGGCTGTCTTCCTGGCCGCGCAGGCCGCTGCCCCAGCACGTGGTCACTGGGGGCAGCTGCGCGGGGCCCCTGCGCCCGGGCCTCCTTCCGGCCTCTGCGTCCTCTCCGCACACCAGCCTCCGGTGAGCAGTGGGCAGTGAGAGCCGCCAGACATCGGCCCCCCTGGAGGTGGACTTGGCTCTCAAAATGTAATGGGGAAATAGCAAACAAGAGAAAATAAAACACACAGGAGCTAATTTAAGAAAAGACCAGGATTCAGAAACTGCTGGTCTTTGGTGATGGGCGGAGATGACCGGGCCACACGGGTGGCCTCGGCCAGGCCAGAAGCACTGAGTGGGGAGCCAGTGTCCAGGCGGCCGCAGGTTGAAGGCCGTCGGCACCACGGTCTCCACAGTCCACCTCGGAGAGGCTGGCAAAGTGCCTCAGTGACCCAGAGAAATCAATGCGCAAGAAAACTACGCAGGTCTGAAGACCACGCTGGGCACTTGCGCAGCGGTAGGGACCCCAAATCAGGGCCAGAGCAGGACTGGGCTCTGCTTGGAGGAGCTTCCAGGCTGGTGGGAGGGGCTGGTGGTGGACGCATGGGACCCCGTCTCTGCCACAGATGTGCTGCAGACGCCCCAAGGCCCTGGGACCCACAGGAAATCCAGGGCTTTTGTCAAAAAAGATTTTGGTGGGGAAAGGCCCTCCTGAACATGCAATAAATCTAACAGCCATTAAGTGTAAAAGAGCCTAAGCTACACTTAAAAAAAATAAGACCAAAACATTTGTATGTCACATTTGTATGTTACATGAGTTAAAAGGACAAGCTGAGAAAATCTGCAATTGTAAACAACACGGGATCTCAGCCCTGACAGCAAACCCGCGGGAAGATAAGAAAGAGAAAAGCCAGAGAGAAGGCCCAGGAGCGAGCAGCCCCCATTCACAGCCACACACACTCACACTCACAGACATAGACACACGCTCAGTCACAGACACACACTCACAACTTACACACTCAATTTTAAACGGCCAATAATTACACAAAAGACCACATAATAGCAAATGCAAATGAAACCAGGCCACATTTAACCTACTAGTCAGAGACAAAACAACAAATAACCCAGATACTATGGCGTAAAGCGAAAACGTGATAAATGTGACATCAGAAAAATTAACAACTACTGCCAAGTCGAAGCACCAACCACAGCCTGGGGGCCCTGTGGGAGGCGAGGCGGTGGCCAGGGCCAGGAGCCTGACCGCAGATGGAAGTGGCTGTGCTCCCTCCACCCCCCCACAGGGAGCAGGAGAGGCTCCCTTCCCTTCAGGCCCCATGGAAATGCCGAGGCAGCATCAGGCAGGGAGAGCAGCACAGGCGCCCAGCCGGGACCGCAGTTCTCTACTGTGGACACAGCCCTGACCGCGCACACGACACATAAGAAACACTGAGACAACAAGAAGACGCACGTCGGGGTTTTCACTGCAGCCTTTCACAAAGAGGTGGCCGCGAGTGGTGGGAGGTCACACCAAGACACCCCCATGCCAGGGGCCGTGCCCAGCCCTGAAAAAGGACACCTCGTGAGGCTGGGATAGCAGGGACAAGCAGGGCGCGGCACGAGCACACACGCAAGCTCTCACACGTGTGCTCACGTGTTCACACACGTGCTCACATGTACACATACATGCCCTCACCCATGCTGACACATGCACACTTGCACACGCCTGCCCACCCCGGGGCATGCCCTCGGGCCATCAGCAGCTGGTCCCCCGCAGCCCAGCACTGTGACAGCCGAGCCTCTGTCGCCCTCTGGTGGCCTCTATGGTCCCTGCAAGCATGAGGTCTCCTCAGTGCCCTGGCAGCAGCACCCAGACCCGGACCCCATGCCAGGAGTGAACCCAGCCCTTGGCCACGGGGGTGCCAGTCACGCTGCAGGCCTGGCTTCACAGCTGGGCTCTGGTTTCTGGCAGCCCGAGCCTTTGCTGATTTCAGGGAAGCCCAGGTGACAAACAGATGAAAACGGGGACGTTCGATTGGAGCCGGAGGGGGACCAGGGCTTTCCCCCAGGGCCCACCCACCTACCCGCATACCCAGATGGCCCTGAGGACCCACTGGGACCTGCGGCTCCTGGGAACCCTGGTGAAAACCTGCGCCCCAGACAATAACGGCCACACACTGTGACTCAGTCCTGGGAGAGTGTCAGCCCCAAATGGGCACAGGGCCAGGCTTTTTGCCCTTCCCTCAAGTAGGTGGGAAAGAATACGCTACAGAGGGGCAGCAGCATGTCCTCCCCGCCTGGCTGTGTGCACAGGGGAGTGGGGCCCCTTGGGCACCCCCAGGCCTTACGTTTTTCCAGGGGACTCCTTCAGCCAGAAGATGTCATCACTCGTAATCCCGTATTCCAAGGCATCTTCGATCTATCCGGGAAAAGGGTCAATGTGAGGCCCGCGTCCCCGGCTGCCCCCGGGGCTCCCTCCGAGGACGCCCAGTTTGTAGACACAACTGGGCCAGAACCACCCACCCACATGTGGCTGCACCTCCTCGGGTGCGGCCTCTGGGACAGGGGATACGGCCGCTCCCTTGGGGGCCCGGGGCAGCGGCTCCTTCCTCTCGCTCTCCAGGACTCCCTCCAGATCCAGACCCAGGGCTGTGGGGAGCAAGGGGTGAAGCGGGGCGGGCCGGCTCCCAGGGCGCCAGGCTGGAGGCTGGATGCGACCAACCGGGGGCCCTTGAGGGACAGCATGGTGGGCCCTGTGCCCGGGAGTTGTCCAGGTCACCCCATACCCCAGCAGGTGGGGGACACAGGACACGTCCTCTCTATGGCCCCTGAGAGTCAGATGTGCTGGGAGAGAGGAAACGGATTTCAAACAGTTTACGGTTCCAATTGGCAAAAAAAATAAAGTCAGGAATTTCTTAAGTTTGCTCAAGAAGATCGAAAGGTCTGGATATCAAAGGGACTAAAACACAACAAGTGTTGGCAGGCTCCGGGGCGGGCAGCCAAGAGCAGAGTGGCCACTGAGCGGCTTCCCCAGGACCCGAGGCTCCCACTTCACCCACCCCCCACCGCCCCCCACCCCTCAGGCAAGCGGACAGCAGGGAGAGGCCGGGCCAGTCTCCTCGCAGACACTCTGGCAGCCACGTGCAGGGTGGAGCTGAGCTGATCTCTGGGTCCCAGGAACTGACCACGGCCATCAGGGGCTTTGAGTGGAGCCAATGTGGGCCCAGCTATGGGTGAGGGATCACTAATGGTCACCACTTGGCCCCTGTCTGTGTGGCTACTGGAACAAGAGCCCTCCCCTCCTACGGAGGCACACATCCTGCCCAGGGCCACCTGGCACAGCTGTCTGGTCCCCTCTGGAGGCTGCTCTTGCTGGGCTGACAGCGGCAGGGGCCACGTCACGGTCCTGAGGACTGGAGTGGGCACTTGCCTTGGCACCCTCCCAGCTCCTGTTTCCAGTGGAAGCACAGAACTGGACGGAGGTTCAGATTTAAGAGTCTGCGAGGAGGCAGAACCACGCCCTTGGTCCTCCCCATCCACCTGTCTGGGCCTATGTCTGGGTCTGGGGCAGCCTTGAGCACTGGCCTCCAGGCCCCGCAGAAGCAGGTGGTGGGGGCGAAGGCAGAGCGCCCCCCACCAGGCTGAGCACTGAGGATGGGGAGCCTCGCAAAGACGGGGAGACTTCCTGGGTCTGGTGTTTAAGCACATCTCTGCCCAGTCACTAGCTGGCCACTGAGCAGAGACCTCAGTAGCCTCACAGGACACAGAATAAAAAGTTTACAAAATTGGTCCAGAAAAATCACCCAACAGACAAGCAGCAATAAACGAAATCCCAAAGTGGAGGGAGATCCTAGCTTCCAGAGTGAACATGTCATTTTATTTGAAATGATCACTTTTCAGTAAAACATCACAAGACACGAGAAGAAACCAAAAAGGATGAACCCCACGCACTGCAGGTGGGGATGTAAACGGTGAGGCTGCCCCCCCGCCCCGGGGGCCTGGGACCTCCACCCCCAGGTGTCTGCCCAGGAGAAGGGACAACTCGCATCCACATGGGCTCCCAGCAGCATCACTCATAACAAAGTGGAAACAACCCAGAGGTCCACCACGCAAGCGGACAACAGAATGTCACACCCACCGCGGAACATCACTCAGCCGTAAGCTGGTCAAAGAGGCCATGCATCTCATCCCACTGATGTGAAACGTCCAGAACAGGCAAATCCACAGAGACAGAGAGCAGGCTGCTGGGGCCGGGGGAGGGGGGCGGGAGCGACGGCTGATGGGGCCAGGGTTTCGTTCTGGGCGAATGAAACATTCTGAGATTCAGTAGTGGGACCGACGGGTGAACGACTCTGAATAAACTGGAACTCACTGGACTGTACCCTTTGAAAGGGTGCATTTTATGGTATGTGAGTTTCACATCAACTAAAGAACAAGATTTGGGTTTGGGGGAGGAGGAACCAGGCTTAAGTCCCAAAGGCTCCAACATTCTGAGGCTAAAAAGGAGGAATCAACAAGGGAGATAGAGGAGAAGTGATGTGGGGACAGGAAGAGGGCAGGCGGGGGCCGGCCCAGCAGCTGAGTCTCTCTCGGGACTCAGCCAAGTGGGGATGTGGGAACCTGGCTCAGCAGAGGGCACTCGAGAGCACGGGCAGTGGAAAGTGGCAGCTGTGAGCACAGGGCCACTTGGAGGACAGGGGCGAGTGGGAGGTGCACGTCACCAGACCATGAACGGGGTGGGGGGTTGGGGGCTCCTGAGGACACTCACGTGCGTGGGGTACCTCGGCCGCCCTCCGGTGGCGATGACAATGTGGTCAGCCGAAAGCAGAGTCTGAGAAGAAACCGAGAAAGCCACAGTCACCCAGGTCACCTGCAGTCCCCATTCGAGGGCTCCACCAGCTTCCCCATCACAGCCTCTGCCCTGCAGTGTGGACCCTGTGGCAGCAGCCCCAGACACTGGCAGGAGAGCCTCTAAGTCCAAGCACTTCACAGTTTACACAGCACTGCACGGGTGGTAAGGTCTCCTGGAATCCCCGCAAACCCCTGCAGGGCTGCAGCCGCCCAAGCAGCGGGCAGCCTGGCGTGGTCACTTCCTCCTTCACAAAGAACTAGACTGGCCTCAGCCCAGAGGAACGTCGTATCAATCCCAGCAGCGCTGATCTCCAAGGACAGCACTGAGACTGAGCAGAGCTGAGGTCCACCCGCCTGGGCCACAGACTGACCCACAGACTGGCCAGTGCTGCCCCAGGGGCCCCGGGAGGAGGGCGCTCACCTCTTCCCCACCTTTTGAGACACCACAAACCATGTGTGGGTTGACAAAGCTGGCCTTGAAGTTAAAGTACTTCACTTTTCTGCAAAATAAAAATAGGATGTTCAAACATTTCCTCTGCAAATGAGGCATCACCTCAGGATTAAATGGGGAGCACTAGGCAGATGGCTACAATGTGAGCTCGGGCCACCCACGGCTCACGAGGGGCAAAAGGAGTGTGCGGACCTGCATGGGGCGCGGCTGCTGTCTCCCCAGGGTTCCTCGGTACGTGGTGACCACAGCTGCCATGCAGGGGCGTCTTAAGGGCCCAAGCTCAGCCCTGGTGTGTGAGGACGGAGGTGGCCGGGCCTCCCCCGAGGTCAGTCCTGTCACCTGGACACCCTCCACAAGGAAGGGGAGGCCCCCACATGCACCCAGTTACCCTCCCCCCAAAACACCCATGGACCTCCTGCTGGTGAGGGGGGTGCCCAGCAGGGAGGGGACAGTGAGGATAACAGGCACTGCGAGGGGCGAGGGTGGCCGGGCTTTCTAACCCGGGTCTCATGCCTCCTCCTCCTGGGGAGTCCTCATGTGCCCCAGGACCCGCCCAGAGCCTAGCGCGGTGTCAATACCTGTCCTGCAGCTGGACCCGGTGCCCCCAGTTCAGGGACTTCACGTGGTTTTGAACGGCTTCTGCCATTTTCCCCCTGTTGACACAAAGCACGATGCTTAAAGCCACCACACAAGTGTCAGCTGCGGGTCCCGCCACAGATTATTAGAGGCAAACAGCCCTTAACAGAAATGCCCAGAGGCAGAGGGGTTTCTCAAGGTGGTAAAGGTGATGTCTGTCCCCACGGCTGCCACCCCCGGGCCAGGTTTGGGGCTTCAGACCGAGGGGCTCCAAGCGGACCATGCACCACCCGCCAGGCCTGAAGCACTGCAGCCTTTGGGCCGAGCGTCCTTCCAGGGGTGTCCTGGGCGCCGTGGGGCAAGTGGCAGCATCTCAGGCTCCACCCAGGGGATGTGCAGCCCCCACTGTGGAGATCACCAAAAACGTCTCTAGACTTTGCCCACTGCTGGGGGCCCAGAGGTGCCCCCAGGTGAGAATCGCGCCCACAGCTCCTGTGAGGCTGATGGGATCGGCCGTCCCCCACGCGCCCTCACCAGTCGTGCAGGGGCTGGGCCACCTTCCAGCCGTAGTGGGAGGCGTCGTGGATCATGCCCCCTAGCAGCGCCGCCTGGTGCATCAGCTTCTTGGGGATGCAGCCGACGTTCACGCAGGTGCCGCCAAGGCCCCACCGGGTGCCTGGGGAGGTGGGAAGAGTACACAGGGTTCAGGTGAGCCAGGCCAGCCCTGCTCTATAGCTGTTTCCAATTCCTTTAGTTGCTTTAACTCCAACGCGGCCCAGGTGAACCTGCCGTGTGGACGCGCCGGCTGCGGTTGCATTCAGACTTGGTTTAAATGAGGAGGATGAGGAACCTACAGTGATGGCAGCTTCCCCGAGAAGCAGGACGCTGTCCGGAGACTGGGCAGCAGTCCAGGGCTCAGCCACCCTCTGTATGTGACCCCCCACCTTCCCCAGGACACGTGGCTCCCGGCAGGGGCTGCCTACCTCGGGGGGAAGGCTCCACGTAGTCCACCACGGCCACCTTCTTCCCCAGCTGAGCGGCTGGAAGGACCAGAGAAACAGGCAGGTGAGTACAACCAGGGACTGATTCAGGGTCGGGGACCCCAGGAGCCCATGAGGCCCAGAGGAGGCTGGGGAAGGACCAGGCCAGCAGCCGCCCATGAGTTATGCAGCCGGGTCTCCCACTGCCTCTGCTCCCAGCTATGCTGCCCCTAGATGGGCACCCCGACCTCTTCCTGACCGCAGGCTCTGCACCACCCACCAGAGCAGTGCTGGGATGTGCCCCCCCCACCCCGCAACCTGGTTGCAGGTCCAGCACAGGCCCAGGGCCCACCCCAAGCACACTCCCTGGAGGCATCACAGGGAGGCCCCTGGCTCGCTCCCCAGGCCCTCCCTTACTCCTCTCTTCCCCAGACACCATGTGGGGTGGCCCTCAGTCTACACTGGTCAGAGCCCCCAGGTGGACGTTTGCTGCCTCCTCTCAGGGTGAGGAAATGGAAGCTCGGAGGTCAAATGGCAGGTTCAGGTCAGCCAGGCCCCAAGACCAGGGCTCCAAACTGCACCCCTGCCTGGAGCCCCCAGCTATCAGCAGGCTCCCCCAGCCACAAGCCCCAGGTTCTGAGGCCAGGACTAACCACGGGCTTCCTGCTGGCTTGCCTGTGGCACTGCGTCAGCCAGCCCTGGTCCCTGGCCGTGACGGCCCCGAGGGCACGCCCCACTTGTATGTCACGAGCCCACGAGTGTTTGAAACACTACAGAACATGCTTGATTCATGGCTACCAGCTACCAAGATTAGAACCAAATTTTAGAAGTCTTCATTAACAAAACCATTTCATTCAACTGAATCAAGATGGGATCCCAGTGCTTGATTTGAAGTCTCCGGCCAAGGGGACACCTCAGACATACCAACGCCCGGCTCCCAGGTCTGATCAGGATGGAGCAACAGGGACCAGAGTTAGCCTCCTGCTCAAAATAACCAAAAATCCTGACAAAATACGCGAAATAATGGTTTCAAGAAACTGAATAAACGAAAACAAAGGCCAGCGATCTCTGAGAGACAGGAAAGGGACGAAGTGAGCCCCGCGACCAGAGAGTCTGCAGGACACAGCATGGAGGGGGCCCAGCAGGCTCTCGGGCTGAGAGTTCCTGGGACAGAGGAGAGAGAGGGGAAAGTACCTAAGGCCGGGACAGTGCTGCTCCCAGAAGCCAGCCTGGAGAAACGTTAACTCCTGGAGCACTGGGTGAGCATTAGGAAGGTCATGCCTCAGCAGTTGAGAATAATTAGCCCCAGACTGGGCACAGCGCCAGAGCGCCTACCAAATTGTAAGCAGAAGTCTCAAAAAGATCAAACTGTCTGTAGCTACATCCCAGAACGTGCTCAGAAATATTTCTAGGAAGATAAAAATATCCAGAAACCAGCAAGGTAAAGTCCAAAGTGTCTGGCACTCAAACAAAAATTACCAGGCACGCCAAGAAGCAGGAAAATACAGCCCTTAAAGGGAAAAATAGTCAATGGAAACTGACCAAGAACTGACATCAACGTCAGAATTAGTGGGGAAAAAAGTAAAACAGGTGTTTTAACTGTATTCCACATGTTCAAAAAGTCAAGAAGTAACATGGAAGATAGAAAAAAGGACCCAAGGTGAACTGTAGAGATGAATACTGCACCGAGTGGGGTTCATGGTCAAGTAGACATCGCACACTCTTTTATTAGTGAATTTGAAAACAGGAATAGAAACTATCCACAATGGCAAGAGCTCTCATGAGCTCTGGGACAACCCGGAGCTGCCAGATGCTCAAGTCCCTTATAGAAAACGGTGCGGCATCTGCAGTAACCTTTACCTTAAATCATCTCTAGATTATAACACCTAATACAACGTTAACACTGTGTAAGTAGTTGTAAATACAGTGTAAATGATAAATAGTTGCCAGTATGCGGCAAGTTCAAGTTTTGCTTTTTGGAATTTTTAAAAAAATATTTTTTTGATCTGTGGTTGGTTGAATCTGTGAATGTGGAGCCTGTGGATACAGAGGGCCAGCTGTACTGTTCCCTTGAATTCTATACTCAGAGAAAATATCTTTTTAAAATGAAGGCAGAGTAAAGATGTCTTCAGACTCACAAAAGCTGAAAGAATTTATAACCCCTAGAGCCACACGACAAGAAATGTTCACGGACGTCCTTCCAGTAGGAGGAAAATGATGCCGGGTGGAAATTCAGATCCACAGAAAGGAACGGAAGCCCCAGAAATGACAACCACATGGGCAGATGTGTTAGCTTTTTCCTTATCACTGAAATCTCTTCAGAAGGTCAATATTTAGGGACTTCCCTGGTGGCGCGGTGGTTAAGACTCTGCGCTCCCAATGCAAGGGGCCCAGGTTCGTTCCCTGGTCGGGGAACTAGATCCCACGTGCATGCTGCAACTAAGAGTTTGCGTGCCACAACTAGGGAGCCGGCGAGCCACAACTAAGGAGCCCTCCTGCCACAACTAAGACCCAATGCAACGAAATAAATAAATATATAAAAATAAAAACAAACAAAAAAAATCAGTATAAAAAAAAAGATCACTGTTTAAACAAAAATTGTACAATGTGCTGTGGGGTTTGTAACATGTAGAAGTGGAACGTGACTGGTGGGAGAGTGTCACCTGAAGGGGGACCGTGACATGGAAAGGTGCATGTCTCAAACCCGGAGGCAATGACCTCACCACGTCTGCACGTTAATCCACAATGTACCAAAGGCCTAAATGTAAGAACTGAAGCTGTGAGGCTCTCAGAAGAAAACAGGCCTAAGTCTTTGTGACCTTGGATTGGGATGCTGTTTCTTGGATGTGACACCAAAAGCACAAGAAACAACAGATCAACTGACTTCATCAAAATTAAACACTTTTGTGCTGCAAAGGACACCATCAAGAAAGTGACAAGATAACCCCCAGGATGGGAGAAAGTAATTTAGAATTATGCATCTGATACGGATCTAATATCCAGAATATACGTGTGTGTGTATTCTCATAACTCAATAATGAAAAGACAACCGAACTTAAAAATGGGCAAAGGTTCTAAATAGACATTTCTCCATAAATATAGAAATGGCCAATAAACACATGAAAAGATGCTCCATTAACCATGAGGGAAATATAAGTCAACCACAATGAGATACTACTTACTTCCCACCTACTTAGGATGGGCTACGATAGAAAAGACAGTAACAGGTGCTGGCGAGGATGTGGAGAAATTCGAACCCCACACTTCCTAGTGGGAATATAAAATGGTGCAGACACTTTGGAAAATAGTCTGGCAGCTCCTCCAAAGGTTAAACCTTGAGCTACCCTATCACCCAGCAATTCCACTCCTGGGAATCTGCCCAAGGGAAATAAAAGCACACGTCCATACAAAACCTGCAGGAATGTTCAGAGCAGCATTACTCATAACTGCCCCAAGCAGAAATAACCCAAACATCCACCAGCGGACAAGTGGATAAACAAAATGTGGTTCATCCACACTATTCAGCCCTAAAAAAGGAACGAAGTACTAACACACGCTGTATCACAGATGAACACTAAAAACATCATGCTGAGGGAGAGCAAAACCACACGTTTCTATGAAACATCCAGAACACAGGCCAGTCCATAGAGGCGGAAAGGAAACTAGTGGTAGCCTGGTGCTGAGGAGGGGAGGGAGACAGGTGACTACCAGTGGGTACAGAGTACCTGGGGGTGATGAGATGTTCTGAAATTGGTGGTGGTGATGGTTGCACAACTGTGAATATAAAATCCACCGAGATAGGCAGTTTAAATGAATGATCTGTATGGTGTGTGATTTGTACCTCTGTAAAGCTGGGTTTTTTTTGTTTGTTTGTTTGTTTGTTTGCGGTATGCAGCCTCTCACTGTTGTGGCCTCTCCCATTGCGGAGCACAGGCTCCGGACGTGCAGGCTCAGTGGCCATGGCTCACGGGCCCAGCCACTCCGCGGTATGTGGGATCTTCCCGGACCGGGGCACGAACCCGTGTCCCCTGCATTGGCAGGCGGACTCTCAGCCACTGCACCACCAGGGAAGCCCAGTAAAGCTGTTTTAAAAATATGAAACACTAGGGATAAATCTGACATAAGATGTGGAAGACCTGTATATTGAAATGACAAAATATTGCTGAAAGAAATGAAAAAATACCTAAATGAGAGATACACCACATGACCCAGCTGTTCCACTTTTAGGAGATTATCCAAGAGATTTAAAACACACATCCACACAAAGACACAAAG